GAGGGAGGAGATGAGACTGTCTGCTCCAGTACAGAGTTATAGCCTCGCACACCCACAGAGTCCATTCTATACTGTCCTACAGGGTTGCCAGGAGCTGAGATCAACCCAAAGGCAGTGAGTTAGAGTCCAGACGTGTGTCTGTGCATGTGTATGCGCGCACATGTGTGTGTGCATGTATGTGTGTGTTTGCGTGTGTTGTGCATTTGGTCATGGATCTTTTGCTTGAAAGCGGGCCACAATTTCATTACATACAGAATGAGTTTGTTAGCGACCAGCCAGCATTACTTTCTAAAATAAATGAACTCCACTCAGCCATGCCACTGGCTGCGTGACCTTGGCTAAGTCACCTGTCCACTCTGGAAGAGAAGGGCAACCAAAGCAGCTGCCCCACGGGCCCTGCTTTAAATGACCTAGGCTCAGAGGGCAGCGCTGCCAGCAGCAGGTGCCCAGCCCTGCTCACTGGTGCTTCCCAAGGGCTCGGAGTAGAAGCGGGCTGTCAAGGGAGTCTGAAGGAGAAGTAGAAAGGGCTTAGCCCATGACACCGGCCCTTGGCACTGGCGCTCCTATTCACATCCTTGGTACCCCTTTGCGGGATGTAAGCCCCCCCGGTGTGCAGTGGTTACACACTGTGCTGTGGATCTGCAGGGTTGGCAGTTCGAAACCACCAGCAGCTCCATGGGAGAAAGACAGGGCTTTCCCCTCCCATCAACAGTCGCAGGCTCGCAAACCCACGGCAGGCACAGCGGGCACAGTGGGCACAGCAGGCAGGGGTTGCTCTGAGTGAGCATTGACCCAGTGGCAGTGAGTTCTGAGAAGCGCTCGGGTCAGGCAAACACAGGAGATGCAGTAGGTGCAGCTTGCTCAGCCCGAGGAGGACACAGAAGTGCTGCAGGGCAGGGCCAGGGCCCAGCTCTCCCCCTTCCTCCAGACAGACAGGACCCGGCAGAGTGTCATAGGGGAAGTCCCCAGGGCCAGGAGTGGACGGCTCTGGGGCTGTGGGAGGGACGTTGCTGGGGGAGATGGCGCTCAGGTCCAGGTAGCAAGCCCCTGGGCTGCCTCTGCGCAAGCAACAGAGTCTGTCTGCTCAGGGGCATGAACCTCCCTCAGTGGCCTCGTCCCAGAAGGAGCTGACGACCCAACAGTCAGCAATTTGAACCCACCCAACAGCCCCTCGGGAGAACGTCCTGACAGGAAGATGGTAGCCGAGGAGGCCCCACAGAGTGCCCAACAGCCACCGCCACAGATAGAACCACAGCCACAGGACAGGTGGGACACAGGACACACGCTTCCTGGCAGGAAAAGCATGGATGCTCACACACGCCCTGCTCTCAGCGACCACATGCTCCAACCACCGCCGGGAGCCCTGCTGGTGTAGTAGTTACAGCTTGGGCTGCAGCTGCAAGGTCAGAGGTTCAAAACCACCAGCCACTCCGAGGGAGAAAGATGGGGCTTCCTACTCCTGTAGAGTTAAGGTCTCAGAAGCCCACACAGGGACAGTGCTACGGGGTTGCTGGGAGCCCAGATATGTTGGGTGGCACTGAATTTGGGGTCTCAGCTCAGGACCCCTGGGCTGCATTCTCTGCTTGTAGGGACAGAGGGCCACTGTCAACCAGGAGCGCTTTCAGGCTGGAGGGGCCCAAGTCTGCCCCACCCTCTGTAACATCTGCCTGCTGGCCCCAGCTCTGGGCCCTGAGGTCAGGTGGAAGATGCTGTTCACCAAGAAAATGGTAGGGACCATTTTTATTCAGCACCCAGGTGGCTAGGGCCCTCCATGGGGTGGAAGTTCTACTCCTTGATCCCCGCTGAGCACTCGGGGCAGAGGCCTGGGAACTTGCCCCAAGGTCGCGCTGCTGACCGCAGCAGCTCCAGCCCTACTGCGAAGCCCAACACTGTGGACACTCAGGACGCCAGAAAGCAGGCCTGGCCGGTGGGTGCGGAGGGGGGGGG